GGGCAAAACATCTGGAACCACTTATCAAATCACCCCGTANCTGCATGAACGTTCCACCCCCCCCCCCCCACTGCTATTCCAAACAACGCGTTTTACTGGACCATTGTAGGGGTGCGTCTGCAATATTACATTTACCGCGAAAGCAGCAACGGCAAAAATACACATTCGTGCATCAACACGGGCATGCCCGCAGACGGCGTATAAAATTGCGTGCCGATTACACAAAGAGAACCCAGTGTTTTGACTGCGAACACGAAAAATCAGCTCTTCACAACACTTCGTCCGGAGGTCCTGACCTCCTTCACGGAGTAATAATAGCTCCATCCCGGCCATCACATTAACTACCATTGTCACGACTTCAACGCGTCAACGCCGTCGAAAAAACAACAACTTTGGAACCTCTAGAGAATTAAAACAGCACCAAATTTCCTCAGTTGGCCACATGTCTCTACCAATCGTTTATCGTAGTCTTCAGAGAAAAAGTCAGGGAATTTTCAGGGGTCGTTTTGTATAAAATAATAACAGAAAAATAATCGTTTTCTCTTAAAAAATTAAAAACGTTTTCTCTAAAAATAATAAAAATAATCGTTTTGAATACAACAATAACAGTAAAGTTATCATTTTCTATATAGACTAATAACAGAAAAATAATCGTTTCATATGAAACAATAACAGAAAAATAATCATTTTCTATAAAGAAAATTACAGATAAATTATCGGTTTCAATAAAAAAAACGGTGTACAAACCAGGCACACTGCGCAGGCTCACTTCCTGGCCCCTTCCCACAGCTCTATCGGGACCGGGAACGGATGTCTCAGCACCGGGGGACATCGGTTGTCTCGGAGGATGAAGGCGTCCGGCGGCGGCTTGACGTGAACGATCTGTGCTCTCCAAGCAGAGGTTGGTAGGGAAGATTACAACCTGCAGAAGAAATACGAGGATGTTTGTCGGGAAGGTCCAACCAATTGTATTTTGACATTAATGAAAGTCTCTCAGACAATTATGAATGACGAATCATTGATTACATCGCATGTCTAATTCATGTTATTTGACATATAATGTATCTGATGCAATCATTGTGCAATGAACATTTCATACTTGACTTGAATCAGCCCGCCCAAAACAGGCTAAAACAACTGAAGATTAATTACCCGTCTGGTATGTTAGGTCATCTCCAATTTGTCACGCATTCTTTAAGTCAAGCAATTAACTCCATAGGTCAGAAAAACTGGCCCTATGTGTCAGTGTTTTGAACGTCTGAACCTAACTGTCACTCAACCGTGCAGATGCAGGTGGCAGCTGCTGTAACGTGTAACACATCTCCAAAGTCTCCACAACAACAACGCGGATTCAAACTTAGTAAAATAGCCAAATAGGGAGTCAATAGATTTTACAGAATGCTATGAAGTGTACATCGAAGTAAACAATAGTTGAAAGATATGTTTGTTCATTAATCAAGATATTACAAATTCAACAACATGTTCCTCTGATCAACAGAAACGACAAATACATCGTGTGGACTTATACCTCTGTTTTGGCCCTTCCGTAAATGTCTGTTAGACCATCTCGCCGGTGAATTTCGTCTGTGAGGTGAGGGTCGTCATGGCTTAGCTGGCCTGCTGCGGGTACAGAGATTGAGAGAGGAAAAAAAACATGAGTAAATTGAAGTCATTTCTTGGCGTTTAAAAGACTCAATAGAAACTCCGATTGGAGTCTCTGCCGGTACCGGTAGAAATCCCGATCACTAACCTTTTAGGATATGTTATCAAGTTATAGCAATAGAACTCTACCAGGTTGGAGTCTCTACCCAGCCTCAGCACTGTTATAAAGAATTGGCCTGACGACAGACTTCAGAAACTCAGGGGCTGATCTAGGAATTAAAAAAATACTGGCAAGATGTTTCTGGAATATTCAATCTGGACAGGTAAGTCTTATCAGAGGGGAGAGGATATTAGGTAAGGGCGGAAAATATTGAAGGAACATGTCAAGTGGTTAAAACTTTACGTAAACAAAATTTCGACAGCCTCTTACATTGTACATGATGGAAGATAATAGGTGCGGTAAATGAACAAGAGCAACTGAAAAGCCATAATTACTCAGTGGCCAACAATACGTCATAAAAGGCGGGGTCAGTTAAAGAATTGATAAAAAATGGATTTCTACCCAGACAATATTGCCAGGCAAAGTGCTGTCTGCAGACAAAGCAAAACATCCAGTCCGACACAGTGTGACTAAGACAACAGGCACTCAAAGATATAAAGAAACAAGCAAAAGAAAACTGTAAAGGAGTAAAAGAAACCGCAAACCACCACATTAATTCTTGGAATCTCCTGTCGCTTGCGACAGATGAGTAGGCGTATATACAGGTCCACATTAATTACTGCGCTCTTAAATGAGGTCACCAGCATCCATGAATCATACGTAATAACCAAAGAAGCAAAGCCACATTAGCTGGGATGCGAGGAGACCTACGAGCAGACATGATCAGTATGCTGTACAGAGCGTTCTAGGATAACATAGAGGCTAGGCAAGGTTTGAGGAGAGAGATGAGTAAATGACATTTCCAAACACACATGTGCAAAGCACAAGTATAAGAGTGGCTTCAACAAGCCAAACGCCAAGCAAAGAATGACACCAAGAGTCCACGTCTAGCGGAAAAAAATTGACGTAAAGCAGGGACAACAACAAAGTGCTTTAATACATACAAGTTCACGTTCAAAGAGAATAAATTCTAAACCCATGCTGGGTCTGAAATATGGGAGTCTTTCATTGAATCAGTACATCTAAGATTTTGCACAAACATTGAATATTCCCCAAACTGCTAGTAATCTTGCAGCACGGGCAGAACTAGGGAAGTCCCCAATACAACTGGAGGTTTTCCTAAACGGTATCAAGTCGACTCTGAAAGAACGTACGGGTCATGCAGCTGACAGCCTTTAACGAAGTTCACGGAGACGCTCTTTTATGTCAAATAGACTTATAAGCATCAGGTACTAGTGTTGGGCGTTTGGTGTTTGCAACACTCTAGAGGAATGTGGTTATGCTTTCGTCTGGCAACGCACGACCCATATCATCATTTCATCAATTATTTAGCGTTTGATATTTATTTTCATTGTATGTTGTCTACATCCCGGGGCTAGCCAATACTATTTCCCCCTAAAGAGCACAAAGAATGAAAAGAAAAATTGACTTACCCTGCAGCTAAGAGGAGGACTGTGTCATGGAACTGGGGAAGAACGTTAAGTTCTGCACTTGGCATTGCGATCGAACAAAGCTGGATGACCCAGAAGGAACCGCACGTTCCCAGCGATGTTCTTATCGGGGTTGGTGCATAGGTCGACCGACAAACTCTGGTGAATCTGTGCATCCAGGCCAGCTCTCGCTTCATGCATGAATGACGGGCGAAAGCCAAGAAAGTGCGCGTTTCCCTCCACATGTATCGCCAGCTCTTCTGGAGGAAGGGGGATGGGACGAGGGCGAGTGCAGTTGTTGCCACTTCTGTTCTAGCGCCTCCACCTCTCGCTGGAGCTCGGCCTCACAGTTTGATGGTCTTCTTCTGTAGGTCCGCCATGGTTAGCTTAGCTGTCGGAGAGACCAGGGAATCCTGCTTGTCCTTGCAGTCCTTCCCCGCCTAGCCGGCGTTGTGAGCCAACAGAAGGTGACCTCAGCCGGCACATCGGCGCTGTGTCTTCGGCATGCGTGGCGTGAGAAAGCCGAAGACTGGATAACTAGTCGAGAGGATTCCGGAATCAATTTGCTGCCTGTCCTGCCCCTGGCAGGTTGACGTCAGACTGACACGACAGGGGCTGGAAGGCATGCTAATTACAAACTTTCATTCCCGGGGCTCCCAAATATCCACCGTGATTGGTCCGAATAGATTGAATAATTTCAAATTCACCGCAAATCTGATTGACATTTCCTTCAAGAAATCGTGCGTTAACTCGCTTCCTGCCAATTAAATGCCCATTTCTGAGGGTCCTGACATTAACCTACGGGTCAAATTTGAAAAGTTCATGAACTTTTGACAATGCTGACGGACCCTTTATTTGCTTTTAATAGGTTGTTCCAAATACTCAATAGTTTTGGTCAACATAGCTGCAATGCAAAGACATTGACATCATGGAAGAGTCCACTAATCAAGGAGGGTTTGCGCTGTTACGTCTAGACGTGTCTGACAGGCATCGCATTGGGCTTAACCTCAGGTCGCTACGTTAGCGGTGTGGTTGATAACAATTCACCTCTGTCTAATCTGAGGTCAATTAAAAGACAAGCGGCTAAGCGCTATCACATTTCGTTTTCACCGTATGTATACTAGTATTCAACTGCTGTGGGGATTGTACATTTTACAATAGCGGGGTAGAACTTGTGCTACAAACGCACAAACTTACTTATAAGGTTTACGACAAATTCAGGGTCGATCGTCTTCATGAAATGCTTCTCAATACGTTTTCACAAACATAATTTGCAGGGCGTTATACTGTACGGATTTTCCTCTAGACGTTCTGCTGCTTATGTACAAAGTTGAATAGTTGCAGCTGTTTGTCCTTGAGCGCTATCTGATCGCTGTTCAAGGCCGTGTTGTTGGGGATGATACAATAACGCTAGCAGGGGAGAACTGTGTTCCTGTAGAAAGGCTGGGATTTCCCGACAATAAGACTATAATAGCTTTTAAACTGGTTGTGATAACAGCCAGGAGGAGACTCCCTCCCCTGGACACAGCTAATTGGGTTAGGGGGTTTAAAATTGATACAATCACATTATCGATTTTTAGGCAAACAGAGGGATAGAAACCATGGTTAGAAACCAATCAAAATGTGCATATTAATAATTTTCTTTCTTCAGAAGTTTTTTTCTTCTTCTTTTTTTAAATTCAGAAAACAGTATTTTCTTGGATGTGTAGTCCTAAAGATGAGACCACTTATTTAGAGAAGTGGAATTTTGTTTTGGGATGTGTTTTTTCTTTTGATAAGGGACTTGTTTACAAGGTGAGTGGTGATTAGAAAAAGGATGAGAAGGAACCCTGCAAAAGGTAAAGCACTAAAAGTGAACTTCTGTGTTAGGAATCTTTCGAATTTAGCGTAGAGCGTAGAGAGGCTTCTTGAATTCAGCGCAATACGTAGCCGGCTCTCAGAATTTAGCGTTGTCGGGACCCCCTTGCAGGGCCCCTTGAAAGGGCTCACACAGCACATTTTCTGTATCTCTTCGTATTAGTGAAAACGCAGTGCCACCGAATCTGTTCTGTTCTCCGTGACCTCATTTCCCTTTCCTCAGGCCAAAGTTGGCAGTCTGAGCAATTTCAAGGACACACAGCTCAGGCGGCAGCGTACCGATACTCCCTCAGGTAAACAGGAGTATGTGGCCTTGAAGCCGTGGCCTTGGTATGGCCAAATCAATGTACTGCCTTACATATGTGTGCTTGCTATAGAAATAAAAAAAACTCTTGATTTATGTTTTTTTTATTGGATTCCAGCCAAAATAGTTACGTATTTTAAGGTGTAAATCTATGGGACAGCGAAATTGGCGTATGAGACCTTAAGTTAAATACTAGTAGCCGATTTAGCTTAATACACTACATTGCGAACCTGTCTATATTAGCAACCGCTAATATTTCTATCTAGTTATGCTTGAACACCTAACGTTACAATTTGTAACGTTAGGTGTTCAAGCATATTTTCTCTCAAAAATACCGCCATATTCCACCCTAAATACATGACAACAACAACGTGAAAACAACAACAATACCTCCTCTGCGTCGGCGACTTCTAGCGACTCGTCGTAATGTTGGTTGACGTGAATCCTGGTTCCCTGGTCCGAGTCCGAGTCATCCGCCATAGACCCGACTATGGAACTACACTTCTGTAAACGTCGCCAAGGTAGCGAGGGGGAGGGGGGCGAGTTTCAAAAACCGGTAAAACCAATTTTCCTGGCCGCTACAACGCTTTCAACAACCCAAAATTGAAGAAAACTAGCTAAAATATAGTTTTGAAAAGTTTCACCAGGATAGGAGATTCTATAATGCTTTTCTGGAAGGAAAAATGTAAAATTGTGCTTTGAAAAGTTCTGGGAGCCGAAATATGTCCGCTACAGCGCATGCGCAATGTGGAAAGCTATGGCAACGGTGGTCTCGCACCGGGGTTATTATGTACCTCATGCAGCAGTTCGGTGTGACGTACTTAAGGCTTTAAAAAATGGCGGGGGCGGCGAATCCGCTGTTGAATCTCGATATCGCCGTTGCTAACGGCTTGATCATAGAGATACTTTACTTATATTACATGGAAGCAGTTCGTAGCAAGTGATGAGAGTTTCTTTCATGGCGACAGGAGCTATCTGCAAGCTTTACTGGCGAGAAGGGTACACCCCCATGAAACTCCTTCCTCTTCGCCCCCGCCGTTCTGCTTCGCCCCCGCCCCGTTCTGCTTCGCCCCCGCAAAAAATCTGCTTCGCCCCGTCGTTCCTCTACGCCCCCGGCGCAATTCTGCTTTGCCCCCGTCCTTCTGCTTAGCCCCCAATGGCGGCACAGCTCACAGTCGACACGAAAATCGTCTGCAAAATAACAATAAAGGCTGTGCCGCCAAATTTAAAGTAGCCCATGCTCCGGCAAACATTCTGGACCACCTTTCTGCC